TGCGAGAACGGCTTGTTCGCGAAGGGGGAGATGCTTTCAGGCCCACAGACGGCTCACACACATGGAAGGACCTCTCCGCCAAGGAGCCTGCATCTATCGAGATTGTGGACGACGACGACTTCATGACAGAGGAACCGGTCGCTCCGCCAGATGGGCTTCACAATCTCAGCTAGGCCTTTTGGAGTGCAGCCAGGTCCTTGCTGAGCCTGAGCCGCACTCGGCAACCGGAGATCGGCAGATTGGTGGACCTATTCACCCTCTTGGGCAAGAGACTTTCTCACGAGGGAGTCGGTCGAGATGTACTGAGCGATGGATTTGTACAGCATTTTCCTTACCTCTCCCTGTAGAGGCCGGCCAATGCTTAGTTATTTGGAAGTTCTCTGTACATTGTACGGTAGGCCGAGCTGCGAGGGGGGACAGCAACGCCGTCAGGTCATCAGGCTGTAGGATGCGTTTGCCCCTGCTCCAGAAACATGAGCCAGCGTATTATGATACGGCACGAGGCTTGCCAGGAGCTCAGGACGGCCTGAGATTCAAGAGACATAGAGGGTGCTGCCCCTCTTTTGCCACTCGGGGCAGCGAGATTGTCGTCCACCTGGGCTCGAGTTGTTGGGGTTTTTTAAGATGGGAGAATATGTGCCAATGCGCCTTTTTTGGCTGCTACACATCATTTGAAGTTGCTCCCGGTTCTAGAGCCTATTTTCCAAAGGTAGGACGTTTGGGGCCAGATCATCTGGGGAGAAGGTCTCAAGCAAGTTTCGGATGCGTGTGTCGTGGCACTTTCTGCTGCAACAGAGGCCACAGGTTGCATATGGGCCTTTTTTGTGCAGGTGCCATCGGGCTTCTGAGCCTTACCCTGCTGCCACAGATTATTGGCGAGCTCCTTTTTCTCGTTTGTGATGGGAAGGAGTTAAGTTTGGCTACAGCTCGGGCTTTCGTCCAGACACATGGACTGAGGTGTGGCAGGCATGTGGCCAATATGTGCACGGAAGGCGGCCATTCGGGCCCCTTCCAGGGGTTTGTTATCCTTTGCAGTCTGAGCGGGACTTGCGGCATCCCTCCAGATGTGCCCCAGCAATATGCACAGGCCTTGGGGCTTTCTGTATGTGGATGTATTTTCCTGGCTTTGGGTTACGTGCTGGGAAGGGCCGCAGGCCTGCTCAAATGTAGGCAGGGGAGACTCTTCTCCAAGACTTTTGGGTCTTTCCTCAAGCCCCTGGTCACACAGGTCGGGCAGGTAGGTCAGGTCGCCGAGCCGCCTTTAATGTGGAGCCCTTCAAGGGAAGGCAGGGTCAGCCCTACGCTGTGTGGGCCCAAGTCTTCTTTCAGATCCTCTTTTGGAAGGCTTAGGCTTCGACTTTGCGCAGCCATGTTGAGCCTACTCATTCTTCCTGTGCCTGTCCACGCAGGCATCCCGAGCTGCTGGTGGCTGCCAATTGTCAGTTTACATGCCTGCAGCATTGGAAATGCCATGGCTGTGCCGGAGTCATGGGTAGTCGATAGGACCGCTGTTGGCCTAGCGCCGGAGGCTCTGCCAGAGGCGCTTACTCGTGGAGAAGACCCGGTTCTTCCAGGTAGGCCAACCTCAACTCCGTTGGCGTCAACCGATGTATATGGGTTGCCGTGGCCTCCCAGGTTTACTGCGAGTGGCCACACGCATAGGGTTTTGGACAGTGATGGAATAGTGCGCCTCCCGCTGACACAGGCAGATGTTGGGGTTTCTGCAGAGGCCGGTTGGTTGGGAGTTATAGTCCTTGCCCCGCACTGTCAGCCCACAGAATGGGCCTTCAGAATGAGTCCCGAGGACCAGACTGAGGAGGACTTATTGGCAGCGGTTTTGAGTCTAGGGCCAGCACTGTATGATGGGTATTTTGATGCAGCCACTCCGGTGGTTCCCCCAAGGTACCCGGGATATGCCATGGTCCTGGTCTATAATACTGTCACTTTGAGCATAGGAGAGATGGGTCATGTTCCCGTCGTTCTTGATCTCAGTCAGGTGGAGGGGCAGTATTACTCTACGGTGTTGCCCTCAAGGATGCCATACGATGACTTGCTCAGTTTTATTTTGCCGCAGGTCAACGCTGCCCTAGGTGATTTTCTGCTTTTTGTGGGCTTGAACCAGACTGCATGTGCACCTTGGGCAGATGTGAGGCTAAGGCCAGGCGAGGTTATCACTGTGCAGACCAGCTTGCGTCCGCCCATCTCCAATCGGAGTGTGAGTCAGCTTTTGCAGCCGACAGCACATAGGGCACCACTGTTTCTCATTCCTCGCAATGTGAATACGCCAGGTTACTGTGTCGCACATGCGCGCAAACGGTATGTGCTGCACCAGCATCAAGCGGCGGAGGGGCAACAGGTCGCTGAGGCCGTATGTAGCTTGCTGGATAAAGAACCCTCGCAGCTCACCATGCATGTCCATAGAGTCCCGAGGGATTTGGACGTCCAAGGACATGCTTGTGCAGCAGTCATCTCGGTGGTGGATCTGCCCAGGCCAGACAGGGACTGTCCGGTGCAACGGCTGCGGCGAGACACCTTCGTTCTGTGTGATTTGAGGCCTTTGGGTTTTAGGCCATACGCTTATCACACTCATGCACTCACGGTTCATGTGCCCACCGTGTTAGCTTTAGCCTCCATCCGGATCCCGGTTGGGTTCCAGCTACATGTGCATGGAGGCGTGCCACATGAATGGGATATACATGTGGAATGCAGCACTACCCTCATCTTTCAGGCGAGGCCCGTGCTGCCAGTCCCTCCTTTGGATGAGCCCTTGCCTTCCTCTGATCACGAGGCGGACGACGACATGGGGCCCGGGACTGATGACTCTCAGGATGATGATGATTTTTTCTCGGGAGGAGGCCGAGCGAAGAGCCTCCGTGTTAGTTGCTCGAGTAGTCTGGGGGGGCTTCGAGCTATCGAGGGGGACCTAGTCGAAAGGATCGAGATTGCGAAAAGTCTGCGTGTGCAGTCACCGGTGGAGGCCTGCGAGATATGGCCATGTGGAGCCCTTTTCGGTAGGGGGGTGTGTGTCCCGACCCATGATGTCAAGCTCGGCAGCCTCACCGGTCTTTTGTCGTCACTGTGTAGCCTGAAGCCGGACGATCTTAGTCCTGGCCCTTGTTGTTGGGGACCATGGAATCACAAGGGACCTGACCAGCCGCGGCTCTCTGAGGGTGAGCAGCCGAGTCATGTCTATCAGGCGGCGCTCACCAACCGTCTTGCCAATGACACGTTCTTCCGGGAGGCGACACATTCCCCTGCTCCCCAACTTGACAGACCGGCACCAGGCACGGACGAGCAAGTCCAACCAGTCGGGGAAGTGGTATTTGCCACCTTCCTAATTTTTGTGCCTGAGTACCAGCTCGAAACAGTAACTGTCATGCTGACAGTGCCTTGTAGTGCTGAGGAGGCTTGCACTCAGGTTGAAACGGCCAGGGAAAGCAATCTCTCCTTTAAGTTTCCTTGGGTAGTGGCCACTGACCCGCAGCTCACCCCGGACTATGCCACCCTTCTCGGACTGCCCGACTGGCGTTGTGACCAAACAGTCGCCCTTTTTGATTGTAGGGGCTACAACGGCACCGTATTTGCTGAGGTAGTTACTTCTATGCTACACCGAGAAGATCTTCTGGTGATAGCGGGTTTAGGAAGTGGTGCCTGTGTCCGTGTGTGTGTGTGAGAGGACAGCCTCTCCAGTGGGGCGAATTGGCTCAGCTGGTTACTGGAGATGTGGTCTCGGTCAATACGTGGGGAGTACATAGAGCTCTGAGCGGCTCCCTGGCTGATCGTTTGCAGGATCCTCAGGGGTGGATTGAGAATCCAGATTTGCCAGAGGGGACGGAGACAGCGCTTTGGGTCTTGGACGATGCGTTGGCGTCTTTGTTTCCTTATCAAGCGGAAGGACGCCTCACTTTGAGGCAGGACGTAGCCGAGCATCTGGGCTATGCCTATGCAGTGCACCAGATGACGCTGCGGGCAGCCAAACCAGGCATACGAGATTATGCCAATCGAGGTTGGCAGTGTCAGGCTGTGCTTGTTGCCACCAGGCAGGTTGTCAGAGACAGGAGTCAGGCATCAACACAGCGTGTCATCATCATGGACCTGCGACCACTTCTCATGGGGGTGGACTGGTTTCTGCACGACGGAGCCAGTTTGCATTTGTCCACCTTTTTGCGCAGATTTGAAGAGATGTGTCCCGATGGGTATACCGTAGCTGCGATAGGTTGTTGGACAGAAGAGCGGGAAGATGGCACCCATCTTTTGGTAGAAGATGGGCAGACTGTCACCATTGAGTTTATTCGGCGTTTTAGGGGGGCCCTTGATTTTGACATCGATGATAGTGACTTTGATGCAGATGACTCGACCTCCGATGGTGATGGGGGTGAAAGTAGCAGCGAAGCAGACGCAGAGATGTCCCCGAGAGATAGCCCCGGACCGGGTAGGGCGCAGACATCAGTTGATACAGGCGCTGGAGAATCCGGCGGAGGCTCCGCTGACAGGAGTGCTGACTTTGCGAGCGATGAGCAATGGCGCATCAGGCCTCCTGCTAAGGTGCCTGCTCAGCATTCGGTCTTCGGGTCCCTTTTCAGGCTCATCTTTTGCCTTCACTGCGTACAATGTGATCTGACTGCGGCCATGCAGGCGCGTCGTTCAGACAGGTTCGAGACCAGGGATGCTGCTAGTGCGGCCTGTTCGGTTGATCGGGTAGACATGTGGAGTGTGAGTTTCATTGAGCCACCCTCAAGCCCGAGGGCCTCACACCTCACCCCTGTCCCACCGACCAAGCAGGACAGGTTCTGTGATGAGCGCACCACCCTCAGATATGGGGGGCTGCGTGGTGTGCCCACACCTTGCAGGAACAAGTTACCTGTCTTGTGCACGGATAGGCAGGCTGAAGGTTCTGCGGTTTCCCTCGCAGATTCTGATCATCATTTTTTGGATACCATCGGTCCTACTCTTTTGGAAGAGGCTGTTAGGCATGATGATGCCGTCTTTCTAGAGACTAGGATTCTTCTGGAGGCTATCGCGGAGCACCTGGCTGACATAAGAGCACAGCAGAAGGAGGTTGTTGCCCGTGTTAGTCGGAAAGTCCTGAGCCTGCAGGATCTCCTTCCGCCCAGTCCTTTCCAGGTTGCGGCCCTCAGTCTACGAGACATTGTCCCAGCTTGTCGGCATGGTGAGGATCGCTGGTGGGAGGCAGATTGGCTAGATGCTGATTTGCGAGTTTACCTGCGAGATCCCTCCATTAAGGCGGCTTGGAAGGCTCACTACGCCGGTATGCCCACATGGGGTGCGTCGAAAGAGCCTCCGGAGGGGCTCGTGCGCCTTTTGATCTATACGGATGGTTCTGCTCCAGGACAGGATCCTTCAGATATTCTGCCAGCCGCGTGGGCAATGGCAGTGTGGGCCGAGTGTTCGGCCGGGTTGTACTTCGTGGGGGCAAGCGCTCACACGACAGCGCCTCCAAACACTCCTTTTCATCTTGGAGAGTTGCAGGAAACGGCCTTGACAGCCGAGTTGCTAGCACTGGCTTGGGCGCTAGCCTGGTCCCTGGATTTCGGATATAAGGCCGGGGTGCCTCTGGAATTCAGGTATGATGCAACCTCCGCCGGAGGGGGTGTTTTTGGCAGCCAGAAGTTGCCTGTCTTGCATGGGCCCGATGGAGAAGGGCTCGCGCCTTTTGTTGCTCAGCTAAGGCTGACCCTGACGCAGCGAGCCAAGGTGGATCACATGCGCGTCAAGGGCCATTCAGGGGAGTTGGGCAACGAACTGTGCGATATCATGGCACGTTTCTGTCGTAAAAACCCCAGCAGTGCGTACGACCGTTGCCTGCCCACATGGCCGGCAGCATGGTACAAGCATGAGCTTTGGAGTTGGGGTTGGTTGTCCAGATACTCCGGGCCCTTGTACCCTTCTCTTCCTGCCTTCGAGGCGGAGGCTTTTAGGCTGCAGGGCCAGGTACGGCATGCTGAGCCGCCAAAGCTGGGGACGCAACGCAAGGCCTTCAGGCGGGCTGAGGTTTTGTATCAGGTCTCGTTGGCCACCTACAACGTCCTGACTCTGCTAGATCCGGGGGCTGTGAAGCACAGAGCGGCTCGGGCTTCGGATCCGGGGCTCATGATAGCAGGCAAGCGTGATATTTTGAAGAAGCAGTTCTTGCAAAGGGGCCTCTGGATGATAGGCATGCAGGAGACTCGTCTTCCTACCAGTGCCATTTTGCCTGATAAAGAGTTCCTAATGTTAAACTCGGCTGCAGATGAACATGGGCATTACGGATGCTCCCTGTGGATTAACCTTGCACATGTTTATGCAGAGGAGAATGGAGTCAAGCACAGGGTTCGAAAGGAACAGGTTGTGGTGACCCATCTCTCCTCTCGGCACCTACAGGTTAGGCTTGAGGCGCCCAGGCTACAATTGACCATTTTGGTGCTTCATGCGCCAAGGATAGCGGCACAGGGTTTAGACTGTGTCGAAGCGTTCTGGAGCGACCGTGCAAGAGAGCTTCGGCCGCACTCGCTCACTTCTGAATGTGTTGTCCTGGCCGATGCCAATGCACATTTAGGATCCGTCCTCTCCGACGGCATTGGGCCGGATGGGGCGGAGGAAGAAAATTCAGAGGGGAGGTTTGTCCAGAACTTCCTTCAGCAGGTAGGCTGTTTTGCACCTTCTACATTCGGTGAAATCCACAGAGGTGAGCACTGGACATGGTGTGCGCCGGGGATTGGTGGGGTCAAGCATAGGCTTGACTATGTTTTAGTGCCTCTTATGTGGCGGTCCTTTGAACAGGGCACCTCAGTTTGGTACGACCTCGAGTCATTGCAGACTAGGAGGGATCATATGCCTTTGACGTATTGGTGTACCTTCTGTAAAAGCCAGCCCGCCACGCACTACCACACTTCTGTGCGTCAGTCGGTCAGACCTCCTCGGGACCTTGCGCCTACTGACAGGAAGGACTTTGCCTATCGGGTTGCTGCCTTGCAGCAGGTGCATTGGCTCGCGGACGTCGATGCCCAATATGCCTGTAAGGTGCAGCAGCTGCTGGACATAGGTGCACGTTTTGTGGAGCCTCCACAGCGCAAGCCGACAAATGAGTATCTGGCAGCCAGCACCATAGATTTGGTGCAAGAACGGCGGGACTACCGGGCCTACATGTGTCAGGAGGAGCAGGAGCTGAAACGTAGGCTCATGATGATAGTGTTTGTTGCATTCCGCCTGCTCAGTCGCGGGCAGGTTTTCACGGATGCCATGCAGCGGTTGGCAGGAGAATGGCTGGCTGACATCGATCATAGTCTAGCCCAGGCCTTAGAGCGATATGGAGAGCTGACAGTCGCCATTCGGGCGGCTGTCAAAAGGGACCGGGTTAAGTATCTGGAAGGTCTCTCTGAGGCGGTAACCCTGCAGGACCTTCGCCATCCCAGAGCTCTGTATGCTTCGGTCCGTAAGGCGTTCCCCAGGGCAGCCTCGTCGCGCAGGTCGTTGTTCCAACCGCTACCAGCCGTCCGTCTGTCGGACGGCACTCTCGCGCAGGGGCCGGAGGCCAAGGCGCTGAGGTGGACAGAGTTTTTCCAAGCGCAAGAGGCAGGACTACAGGTCACGGCAGCAGAGTATAGCGAGAGATTCCGGGCCTCCGGAACGGCAGTGTTCCCCGATGGTTGCGTGTTTGACGTGAATGCGCTTCCAGGCATAGGGGAGCTGGAACAGCAACTCCACGTGGCCAAGTACGGCAAAGCTAGTGGGCCGGATGCCATTACGGCCGAGCTTCTGCGGGTTTCAGTCCCGCATGTTGCGGCGCATCTTTTTCAGGTGTGCCTCAAGGCCGCGCTTCAGGTTAAGGAACCCGTAGAGTGGCGTGGTGGGGCACTCCTGTGCCTCGCCAAGCGCGCAGCAGCTGCCTTTGAGTGTAAGGCCTTCCGCTCTATCCTAGTTGCGAGTGTTGTTTCGAAAGCCCATCATAGGCTTTTGAGGGCGAAGCTGATGCCGGCCTTCCAGGGCTATAAAACCGAGCTCCAGAGTGGGCAGATGGCTGGTACGGGAGTTGACTCCCTCTCGCTTCTAGTGCGCACTTATCAACTGCGAGCGCAGCAACGCAGGCAAGTCAGCTCGCTGACGTTTTTTGACGTGAAAGCTGCGTTTTACAGGGTGATACGACAGGCACTTTTGAAGGCGGCGCCGGATTCGGGGGATAAGGAATTCCTGGAGGTGTTGTATGATCTGGGAGTGCCAGCGGATGCGTTGCCGGAGTTGGTCTCACACCTCCGGAATATGGCGGTCCTGGCCGAATCAGGGGTTGGGCCACATATGCAAGCGCAAGTCAGCGATCTTTTTCAAGGTAGCTGGTTCCGCATGGACGGGGCGGGCCCCCTGGTCGCGACCCGGCGAGGGACGCGACCAGAGGACCCCCTCGCCGACCTGCTTTTCGCATTTTCATTCACGGCATATTTGCGTTGTGCGGAGCGCGCGTTGCAGGCCAAGGGCCTCAGCACGCAGCTGGATGCTCCGAGGCATGAGGTGCCAGCAGGTCTAGAGGTCCCCCCCCCCAGAGATAGGTTGCCTTGCCTGGGCGGATGACTACACTCACATGCAGGCTGTTAAGGAGGCCGCAGTCCTGTGTAGCCAAGTTCGAACAGCGACGGGGGTGCTGCTCACCCATGCAACAGCGAACGGTATGGAACTTACATTTGCTGAGGACAAGACCTCAGTTTTGTTATCGGCCGAGTGCCCTCGGCGTTTGGATGCTCAGGTTGGCATTCGGCCGGATGATCAGGGCCGGCCGGTTCTTGATGTCAAGGACGACATCACAGGTCAGGTGCATGCCATGCCTGTTGTCTCCAGGTATAAGCACCTAGGCAGCATTACCGTAGCCAACGCGACGCCGGAGGTCGAGGTGCAGTACCGTTTTTCGCAGGCTCTGTCCACAATGCGGCCCCTGCATCGTAAGCTGTTCGCTTCCAAGGCCATACCCCTGCAGCTGCGAAAGACGCTTTTGAGGTCTTTGGTGGTCTCCAAGTTCGTTTTTTCCAGTGCTAGTCTGATTCTGTGGGCCGCCCAGCACAGGAGACGTTGGGGACAGTGCTATTTGAAGTTGTGGCGGGCACTTCTACCTTCAGTAGCACCAGAACACCAGAAGCACAGCTACGATGTGCTGGCCCTCGCGAGAGCTCCCTCCCCCTTGCTAGCCATGGCTCAGGCAAGAGCTTCGCTCCTGCAGAGGATCTTGAGTTCAGGGCCAGCCTCCCTCGTTTATCTGCTCAGGTTGCATTGGGCAGAGGCTCCTCTCAGGTCCTGGCTGGGACAGTTCGTTTGGGACATCAGGGCAGTGTCCCCTTACTCGTGCTTGGTCTGAAGTTTCGGCCCCAGCCGAGACATCCGCTGGGCCGAAGCCGCCTGAGGCTGCATCTGGGCCTGAGACTCCTGCTCAGGACGATGCAGCCTCCACCATAAAGGTGAAATCACTGTGAAATCCGAGGACGAGGGTACCGAGTCCAAGCCTCCTCAGCCCAGATTTCAAGACATGCTTGGCATGCAACGTGAGCTGCCCCACCCCTGAGCACATGGGTGCACACTTCATGACGGAGGCTCACGTTGCTAACACCGCCGGGTATTTCGGCATCCAGAAGCCAAACCCGTGAGTGGGCTGTGGCCACCACGCCCGGGGTGAGTTTTCCCCCTGCTGGCGGAGGTTCTCCTCCCCAGCGTGTCACCGGGTCGTGGCCACCACACCCTCACGGGAAGTGGACTCCCACTCCTGGCCTCAGGCAGGTAGGGCCAGTCGTAGCCAGTGGAGTTTCACACCTCTTCCGCCCTTTTGGCGATGCCCGCAAAGCGGAAGGGCCTAATCGGCCTAATTCGGTGCAGACTCGAACTGGCCTACGGGCCGCGCTCGACGCGAAGGAGCGAAAAATCCTAACCTGGCTCAAGATCTCGGCTCAGGGGCTGGTTGCCTGCTGCAATGAGTGTAGGGCTGTGTTAACCCTGGGGCTCAGGGCCAAACCCACGCTTCGGCAAGAGGCCCCAAACAGGTTAACCCCAGCTTGCGTAGTTGCGCCATAGTAGCTGAGCCGCAGATCAGAAGGTTGTCTGACGTGCAGAGCGAGGATTGAGGGTGGGCGTTTTTACACCTCTCCTTGCGGAGGACGGAGTTGGTGGCTAGGGAGTGGGCCGCACCCCTCCACTGACCGCCCCATTTCAAGGTGAGGATAGGGTTTTTCCCTTCCTGGTAGGGCGCTTTCATTGTTACACGCCTTGCTCTGTCGAAACAGTAGGACTTCGTTTGGGGCTCTCGCTAGGTTGGCTGGTGCGTTAGGGTCTTTGGCAGTGAGGACCGTTCGCGCGCTGCAGCCTTCTCAAACTCCTGCTTTTGCAGCCTTGCCCTCGAAGTTCCTGTGAGCTGTTTTCAACCCAGTGTAGTCGCCGGCTACCTCGGTTTCGTCATGCCAGCCGCCCTCCACAGTGGGTAGTAGAGGGTTTCCTTCTGTGCTTTGCTTCGCAAGGGATTGGCGTGTTTTGGGTCTTTCGGCACGTTTTTTCTGTGAACTTGCGAATCCGGCCTGCACTTTAATTTCTGGGGTGCAGTGCTGAAGAAGCTGCCGCTTGCCTGCTCTGCTCGCGACCCTTCGGCCCGAGGCCCTGTTCAGAGGGCTTTGCTGTGCAGCTTTCGGTGAGGTTGTGACGCCCTGGACGTCTTAGCTAGTCCGTTTTCCACCGCGGGCTATATCATAGCAATGTTGGGCGATTGCCTCCCGTCCGTCCTCGTGGCGGCAGGTAGTCTCCTTTCGGGCTCTCTTTCGGCCTGCAGGCACGTGGGCCCCGCGCCACCTTTTGGAAGATGAGGGGCGGCGTCTCCCTGCGCCTTGTTGAGGGGAAGCGTTGGCCCTGCGCTTTGTCGAAGGGCGTAGGCTGTGGGGAGTCATGACTGTGGGACTGCCTGTGCTGCGCGTGGATGGTCACAATGAGGGTTGTTTGTCTTTGCTCGGCCTTGTGCAGAGTCAGCGGGTACTGCCCCTGCTGGCAGGCTGAGTAGTTTTTGCTGGGTTGCAGCAAGGGTAGTTCGGGCTCTGGCTTGGGAGATGGCTACCCCTCCCTGGTGCTGGGTTTGGAGGTAGGGTGACCCACCTCTCCTGAGGCCAAAGCGCGCGCCACGACCTTTAGCTGCGTGTACAGTTAGGCGGTGGACCTAAGGTCCTTCTGCGGTGCCGACTAAACAGTCCCCGCACGAGGACTTTTACCTTTTTCAGTAGCCCAGTTAGTAAGCGC